ATTTGTTGATTTTTATTTCTTTTTCTTTTGTATTTATTTTAGTATTATATCATTATTTTATTTTATCTCATTTATTTAGTTACATAATTTAATATCACATAATTTCAATAAAATCAACACTTTGTAAATAAATACTTTTATTTTTTTTCATTTCTTTCTTTTATTTTATTATTTCCTTTTAAATTATATTTTTATTCGTAATTTTATTATTATTTTATTTTGTTTCTTTATTTGGTTTTATTTTATTTTATTTTTTAATATATTTCTTTTATAATTGTAAAAATTAGAAAAAACAACAAATACGATTATTTTACTTTTTATTATAAATTCGAAATAACAACATAATCTTAATAAAACCAAACACTTAATTCAATTCGAAATAACAACATAATCTTAATAAAACCAAACACTTAATTCGTAAATAAAAACTTAAGTAAAATTATTACACATGAGCTATTAAATCACGCTGAAGGTTACGATTTACTTCAACCGATCGCATTGTGTGACGACGCCTCATATAATCAATTATGGATATACCGCTTGTTCTTGGGTTTAAATCTAATTCCTCATTTCTATCATAACTGTTGGCACGAGCTCTGCGAGATGTGGCTGGGTTGTTGTCATCGTCATCTGACTCAGCATCAGCGTATTCATCTCGTTCGTCTTCCACAATCATATTGTGGAGTACGATACATGTCATCATAATATTTCTTAGGTCCTTCAGATTCCACCCTCTTCCAGGCTGCTTCACTATAGCAAATCGGGCTTGAAGAATTCCAAAAGCTCGTTCAACATCCTTGCGGTATGCTTCTTGCATTTTTGAGAACAACTGTTCTTGATGTGTTCTCGGCTGCTTAATAGATTGAATTAACGTACCCCATTTTGGGTATATGCCATCAGCAAGATAATATGCCATGTAGTGATCTTTTTCATTTACCTGATAGTGAACTCTTGGGGAAATTCCTTGAACAAGGTTGTCGAACAAGGGTGAACGACCCAAGACAGTGATATCGTTTTGTGAACCGGGTACGCCGAAGAATGCATGCCATATCCAAGTGTCAGATGAAGCTACTGCTTCAAGAATAATTGTGGGTTTATGTTTTCTTCCCGAAAAGCTCCCCTGCCATGCAGTTGGACAATTTTTCCATGTCCAGTGCATACAGTCTAGTGAACCGATCATTCCAGGGAACCCACGTCGTTCCGCTTTGTCAAGTAGCCTTGTCATATCTGCGTTTGTCGGAGCACGGAGGTACTCATCTTTATACAACCGCAATATTGTTTTGCAAAATTCGCGCAAGGTCTCGGTTGCGGTTGTCTCTGCCATATGGAAAGTTTCGTCAATTGAGTCAGCAGAGTATGCGTAAGCCAACATTCGCATAGCAACTGTAACCTTTTGGAGTGATGAGAATCCTAATTTCTGGGCCCTATCAAGTTTTCTTTGAAAATATGGATTCGAGCGCTCGCAAGGTTTTTGACGAGGCCCATTCGCATAAATATAAATCGCATAACAACTTTTTGGCCAAAAAATCCAAAAAAAAAAGAAAAACAAAAAAACCAAAAACAATTCCTTGTTCAATTAATTATTATTTTTTGTTTGTAGTAATCGTTATTATCCTAGATGTTTTTGGATTCTTGTTATATTATTCGGTTTTATCCTTGTTGTTTTTCAAATGTTGTTTTCGTGGTTATTATTCTTGTTTTTTTTCAATTATTGAATTAGTTGACGATTATTTCTTTACTTATATTTGACTATTGTCTTATTATACTTACCTTATTATTATTATT